GCTATAGTCTACAGAGAAACAATAAGCGCATAGGAATGGTTTAGAGAGAGGAAAAAATGTGTATCATCACAATGAAATAGTGACGAACCTTTGGTGAGTCCAAGTACATCGAAGGTTAAGGCCCGGAGGCGAGGGCAGCCAGGGCTCTCGGCGGTAATCGTTCGCGGCATGGTAGCTTCTTCTACTTGGGTGACGGCGACGATGGCTAAGAAGTCAGAAGGAGATCTTTCATATTTGTGCTACGGTGTTGTGTTGTTTTGTTGGGCCGGGGAGAATCTTGCTTGCGATATTATGCTAGATGTTTCGGCCCAAATCAAAGTCCGCCCCGTTTTGGCGCAAATTATGCTGTGCAAAGTGGCACCGTTTCAATCGTTATACCCTACACCACGACGCGCGTAGCACTGTGCGCCGCGCGCCTCCCAAAACGAGGTCGTTTTGGAAGGCGCGGTAGGAAGTTGCTGTGATTATGTATATTTGTTCATACAATTATGTATATTTGTTCATACAATTATGTACATTTTTTATACAATTATGTACATCCGAATCAGGAAATTTTTGTGTATTATGTTAAGAGTTGATGTGTATTATGTTGAAAGTTTATGTTTATTATGTATTATGTTAGATTATGTGTATTATCTTTTAAAAAACAGTATGTATATTTTGTTATACAATTATGTACATTCATGTATAACATTATGTACATTTTTGAACATGGGGGTTTTTTTTTTTAAAGAAAAGTTAACTGCCAAACACTGAGGTGGGAAATTTCAAAAAAAAAAAATAATAAATTGAAACGACGTCGTTTTGCATCTGGGCGTACAGTGCAACGCGCGCCGTGGTGTAGGATATAAATTGCCGCACCGTTTAACTCCACCAATTAATTAATTTTTTTTTTTTTTTTTTACAAAAACTCAAATCGACGTGTAATTATGAATATATAGTTATGCAACTCTGAATATATAGTTTTGAAGTTATGGACATATAGTTTTGAAGTTATGGATATATAATTTTGAAATTATGGATATGTAGTTATGCAATTATGGATATGGTTCTCTGTGAACAAGCACTTTAAGAATTCTGAATATGGATTTATGTAATTATGAATGTCTAGTTGTGAAATTATGAATATCTCTGTGAACAAGCACTTTAAGAATTCTGAATATGGAGTTATGTAATTATGAATGTCTAGTTGTGAAATTATGAATATATGGATATGAAATTATGAATGTGTAGTTATTATTTCTAAATGTACTATTGTCAAATTATGAATGTATAGTTAAGTAATTCTCGACATATGGTTATGTAATTCTGGATATAAAGTTATGAAATTGTAGATATATAGTTATGAAATTATAGATATATCTTACTGTTTGAATACGAAAGGAAACCGCCTAACGCAGTTAATGACGATCCGAACGGAATTTTTTTAAAAAAATGAAACGGCGTCGTTTTGCAACCGATGGTGCACACGGTTGCACATCATAACGATTGCTTTTTGGCCTAAATCACACATAGTTTACACTTAGACCCTAATAGTTAAAAATGGAAATTTATTTTGTTCAATAAAAAATAAATTGTTAGGAATAATAGTATAGACATTTAACTATCTTTATCTGCAATCTACAAATCTATCTACATCTACAAACTTCAAAATGTTGGAAATAATCCATTCAAAGTGCAGGCTTAGTTTTTTGAGTCAACCACAAGGTGTGGCAAAATGAGTTTTCTCATTAATGGCCCGTTTGGTTCACGGAATAGGCCGGGAATGACATAGCATTCCCAGTAATAGGCCTATTCCGTTGTTTGGTAACCATTTCTATTACCAGGAATAATATTCCTGGTAATATCCTTTTACCTCAAATAAGGTAATAGTTATTACTAGGGCCCCCCTGGTATTAGCCTATTACTGAACGCTCAGGAATAGATTTTAAAATCTATTTCATTTTTTACCCCTTTCTTTAACCTAATTTTATTATCCTATATATAAATTTATCCTATTTCACCACCGTTGTCGCCGCCACCACCACCATCGCCGCCGTCGCCACCACCACCACTACCACTGCCACCACCATCGCCGCCGCCGCCACCACCACCACCGCCACCAGAACCACCACCCAGCAGCACCACCGCCACCACCACCACCACCACTGTCGCCCCCACCACCACTGCCACAACCATCATCGTCAACCGTCACCGTCACCACCACCACTACCACACCAGCATCACCACTACCACCACCGCCACCGCCACCGCCACCACCACATCACCACCATCGCCACCACCATCGTCGCCGCCGCCACCACCACCGTCACCAGAACCACCACCCAGCAGCACCACCACCACCACCGCCGCCAAAATCGTTGCCGCCCCACCACCACTGCCACAACCGTCATCGTCAACCGTCACCGTCACCACCACCACCGTCGCCCCCACCACTGCCACCGCCACCACCACCACCACCATCGCCACCATCACATATTTTTATAAGGATATTTATGTCTTTTAAAGCATATTTCATTTCTATTCCTTAAATCAACCAAACACTGTAATATAATTCCTAAAGTCTATTCCTTCCGCGAACCAAACAATAGAATACAATTCCTATTCTATTCCTTGCCTATTCCATTCCTTATGGAATAGCATTCCTATTACCTCAAAATTCATTCCATGAACCAAACGTGCTGTTAGTCATTTACCATTCACCTTGCTTTTAGTTAATGTGGGTCAAAATACCTATGAGGTCCCTGTACTATAGTCTTTTGTTCAATTTAGTCCTTCTACCTTAATTTTGTTTAATTTAGTCCTTGTACTTTAAAAAGTGAAACAATTAAGGACAATCGCTGATATGGCGTAGACATCTTATCTGTCACATCATCATACTTACATACCAACTCATATATTATTTTATAAATATTTAAAATTACTTATTTTTACCACCAATATATTACATAATATGTCCAAAATAAATACATAAATATCAATTATTGTCCTTAATCGTTTCACTTTTTAAAGTACATGGACTAAATTGAACAAAATTAAGGTAGAAAGACTAAATTGAACAAAACGTTATAGTACAGGGATCTCATAGGTACTTTGACCGTTAATGTGTGGTTGGAATGTAAAGTGACTTCACTTTCCTACACACTATATAAACAAGGCAACTTTGTCTAATTAAATGCAATAAATATTTTTTCCCTCTCTATCTTCTTTTCGTGTTTGCTTATTAAAGTCTGAGCTTAGCGTGGTTGTTCTGTGTTGCCTGTCGAAAGCGTCCCAATTTATTTTGGTTGCACCATCACCGGAAAAAATAACGCTTTTAAGGTAGTGTTATTATAACACGACACAGACTTTCTTTCAGTCATACACCTGTTGTGTCCTTGTTTCTTAAAGGTTTCCAACCCGCGCGTTGACGTTGCGAATATTTTCCAACACAAACTTAATAAGAGGCCAATAAAGTTAGACCTTAACGGAAACTAAGAAATGTTAGTGTAATTGTTTGTTGAAATTAATGATTCATATTATTTTGATTTTATTATTATTTTTCTTATTTTATCCTCTATTTATCATTTACTTTTCTTAAATACCCCTCATTCCGTCAGTGTAAACTTTAGTAACAGAATATTCCGTTAACTATTTATTATTCTTAATTTACTCATTGTTTTGATAAGGAATATCTTAGGTTTGAACTCCATCACAATCAAAATTGACATAATTGTTAAAAACATATTATGAATATGTTAGAGTGTATTAAAAAATGCAATATAAAATTTAACATGAACTTTGGTCAATTAATTATAATCATGCATTGGGCATTGATAAAGCGGTACACCTAATTGTTAGGCCCCTAACAACAAACTTAAGTTAGACTGATAGGCATTCACAAATACAATGTCTTCAAATGCAAATGCAAACTTAAACAGTTAGACTTAGGGGTGGGTGTTTCGGTTCGGTTTTTTCGATTTTGGTTTCGGTTTTAAAAAAGTTAAACCATTCAGTTTAACATTAGAGTTTGGTTCGATTCGGTTCGGTTTGAAACGGTTCGATTTCAGTTCAGATTTAATTCGGTTCGGTTTAAGATCCCCAAATTTCACCATTTTCTATTTGAAAAAAGTATCAAATTGGCCCCCTAAGTCAAGGGGATAGTGCAATTGGATCTCCTAAGTGAAAAAAACTCCATTTAAGTCCCCTAAACCGGTAAAATTGTTCAATTTAACTTGTTTATCAGGTTAAATTGATGTGGTGTTGATACATGTTCTTTTATTTTATTTTTTAAAACAAAATATTTTTTATTTATTAAAAATAATTATTTATTTTATAAATAAATAAATAAACTAAACAATTAATTTTTTTAAAAAAAAAAAAAAAAAAAAAGAGAGAACAGCCACCTGCTGTTCGCGCCCAGGGGTTGGTTAATTTCTCCCTCACTTTAATTTGTGATGTCCTTGGTTTTTAATGAATTCTCTTCTTCTTTTCCCCCCCTTAAAAAAGTAGTTTCTAATGGTGTTCATACAATAGGAAACCATTCCAATAGAATTATATGTTGTTCTGGGTATGATTGGCACCACAGAATCTTCTTATATATAATGTGTAGCAAATGAAATTGTTGTATTTAAAGTGATTGGTGGGCAGTTGCAGGTACTTGGCTGAAGCTCATGTTGAAGCAATGCAATTTGATGAGGCTAGGATCGAGTTTGTGCAAGAAATCTTAGTTCACCGTCATCTCTTGAAGAAGCAACTGATCGGCGATTAATGGCTATCATATGTGAGGCTAGAGGTGATTATGAATCGGCACTGGAACACCTTGTGCTCGTCAGCATGGCAATGATTGCAAACCTCTTGCTACTACTGTACCGAGAAACATTTTTAATTTTTAATAATTTTAAAATCAGTTTTCAAGAAAAGGAATTGTGATGGTGAACAAACTCTGTTAGGCAGTTTCTTCTCCAATTCAGTTATAAGTAGTGGCACTATTAAAGAAAATCCATTTTTACAGAAAAAGACGCATTTAAATCTCCTTTAACAATGGCGATCGCTTCGCCATCCGCTCCGAGATTCTCGTCGTTCTGCTGCTGTAGGGTCGGGTCGCCCCGCGCAGCTGGTTCCGTAGGAACGGTAGGATTATTGTCGCCGATCCACACTCGGTTCCCGGCTCGGAAGTTCACGTTGTATTCAAGGCTCGACTCGTCTTCCAATGGCCCCGACGGCGAACTCCGCTACGAGCTGCAGCACGGCGTACCGACGCACCCTCACCCTCACCGGCGGGGTTCGCCGGTGTTCGTGACCCTCCCGGTGGACGCCGTCAGCTCGCCCTCGGGGCAGATGACGAGGAAGAAGATCATGGAGCATTCGTTCAGGGCGCTGACGGCAGTGGGAGTGGAGGGAGTCGTGATGGAGGTGTGGTGGGGGCTGGTGGAGAGGGAATCGCCTAGGGTTTACAATTGGCAGGGTTATTTGGAGATTGTGGCGTTGGCCAAGCGCATTGGCTTGAAGGTTCGAGCTTTAATGGCGTTTCATCAGTGTGGCACAGGGCCCAATGATCCCTTCTGGTTGGTACCATTTCATCAATAGTTTGAGTCTTCAAACCCATGAACTTTGGTCTGACTCTAATACCAAATTGAAACATGTGCTCCATCTCAATTAAAAGTCTAAACTTATATTTGGATTGCACACGCTATAGGCTGACAGAAACACTCAAAACCCTCCCTTCTTTTTTTGAGGTTGACGAAAGAAACCCGCAGCCACTACCCGAGAGTGTGCACTAATAAATCTTACCTTGTGACAACTTTAGCCAGCAAAGGACCACACACAGGTAAATCAGTCTAAGTTGCCGCCCATAGCTACCAGCTCAAACCAAGAGGACTGGGATTTGAACTTATGACCTTGTGGTTACAAGTTTGTATCCTTAGCCATCTTGGCTAGGGTTATCCCAAAACCTAGGCTGATGAGTGGTTTTGGTTGGCTATGTCATATTAAGCTAGTTCTAAAGTCCACAAGTCTTTTAAAAGTTGAAATCCTTGAGCATTCCTCTCTTTAATGTGATATGTTATTATGTGCGTTGAACCTAAAATTTGCAATTGCTTTTTCTGCAAGGGTTCCTCTTCCTGAATGGGTGCTAGAAGAAATGGAGAAGGATCCAGATTTAGCATATTCAGACAGGTTTGGGAGACGGAGCTTGGAATACATTTCCTTGGGATGTGATGTTCTGCCTATTTTGCATGGACGATCACCAGTTCAAGCATATACTGATTTTATGAAGGACTTTAAAGAAATCTTCAAGGCATTCCTGGGAACCACCATAACTGTAAGATGCTTGGTGTCAATGTGCTTTTACCCAGTTTTTCTATTATGATACCTAGAAAAGATAATACCTCTTAGATTGATCATAATATGATTCACAGGGGATTCAAGTTGGAATGGGTCCTGGAGGTGAGTTAAGATATCCTGCATGCCCTCCACAAAAGCTAACAAGCGCATGGCGCTCGCGTGAACTTGGTGAATTCCAATGTTATGATAGGGTATGAAGCAAACACTTGTGTAACCACATCTGGAAATTTTGGAATTTCCGACCACCAGAAAGTGATTTTATCAAGTCGAAAGTAAAAAGTGGTCGGAAATAGCAATAAAGATTTTTCCAGATACCAAAAAGTGGTCGGCAAGACTTTTGACTTGATTTAAGATCATTATCAGGTGGTCAGAAATTCCATAATTTCCCGCTGTGAACCTCGAGTCCTCGAGTCCTATCTCTCCTTGAGTCCTAAGACTTGATTATTTTGTTCTTGATTGGCAGTATATGCTGGCATCTCAGAATGCTTGTGCTGGAGAAGTAGGTATGCGTGAATGGGCAAATGGTGGCCCTATTGGTGCTAGCAGTTTGATGCACGACCCAGAAAGCACAGAATTTTTCAGAAGTGATGGTTCTTGGAACACAGCATATGGAGATTTCTTCCTACAATGGTACTCGGGGATGCTGTTGCTTCATGGGGAAAGGATTTGCAAGGAAGCAGAGAGCATTTTTAGGGGTTTTGAAGTGGATTTGAGTGGTAAAGTGGCGGGGATCCATTGGCACTATGGTACTCCATCTCACCCATCAGAACTAACAGCTGGTTATTACAATACTTCAATTAGAGATGGGTATTTACCAATTGCTCGCATGTTCGGTAGATATAGATTCACCATATGTTGTCCATGTTTCGAGATGAAAGATGCATATGAGCAAAAGATAAATCCAGTGAGCAGTCCCGAAGGTTTACTTAGACAACTTTTACTTGCTGCAAGATTCTGTGATCTTCCCCTGGTGGGTGAAAATTCGGCCACCAGTTTGGATGACCAATCATTCCAACAGGTGTTAAAGATGTCAAAATTCTACTCAGATGGTGTTCCATTCGAACATGTGTTAAATATGTCAAGATTATACTCAGATGGTCTGGAAACACCGTACTTTACATTCAACTTTGTGAGGATGGACAAGCACTTTTTTGATACTCGGAATATTGCAAGTTTTACCCGGTTTGTGAGACAGACGTCAGTGTCGGTCCAGGTTGGGTGGTGAAAAGTCTAGAGACCCTCTAGACTTTTCTAGCAATTTAAAAATTAATAACACTTTAATCAAAATAATTTTTAAGTGAATAAATTCAACTTGAAATGCGGTGTTATAATTAAAACGTTTTATTCTGAGATGAGTGGAGAAAGAAATTATGCGATGAGTGAAGACAGTGAGTGGAGAAAGAAATTATGAGGTGAGTGAAGACAGAAATTTGAATGTAAGAGGTGAATGTAAGAGCTTTTATAGGAACGATATGATTGTTAGTGTGAAAGTTTGTGTTTTTTCAAAATTGACCCAAGTTAGGTTTTATCAATGGGTAATTCTATTTACACCACCTATTTTACTATTTGCACCACCTACTTAGTAGGTCAAATAGCTTTATAGGTGGTGTAAATGCCAGCATTAAATATGGTCAAAGATTTTTATTTATTTATTTATTTTAATTACAAAAAAAAAAAAAAAAAAAAAAAAAAACTTCTCCGTCCAGTCACCTTCTCCGGTGAGAAGGCTGGGACTGCCTTCTCACCGGAGAAGGCAACTGGGCTGCCTTCTCACCGGAGAAGGCAACCCAATGGGTTATTAAAAAAAAAAAAAAAAAAAAAAAGATTCGTCACCTTCTCCGGTGAGAAGGCGATGGACTGCCTTCCCACCGGAGAAGGCAAATGGGTTGTCTTATCCGGCGAGAAGGCGACCCACTGTGTGGGCTGCCTTCTCCGGCGAGAAGGCAGCCCACACAATGGGTCGCCTTCTTGCCGGAGAAGGCAACCCACACAGTGGGCTGCCTTCTCACCGGAGAAGGCAGCCCAGTTGCCTTCTCCGGTGAGAAGGCAGTCCGTCGCCTTCTCACCGGAGAAGGCGATGGTGTGTTCTTCGTTTTTTTTTTTTTTTTTTTTTTTTTTTTTTTTTTTTAAGAATTAAATTTTGACCTCATAAATGCAGTTTTAATAGGGTGGTGCAAATAGTATTTTGACCACCCATTAGACTATTTGCACCACCCATATATTTATTATAATTTACCACCTTTTTACATTTTCAATGATACTTTATATCATATTTGGTCAAAGGGTGGTGCAAATAGCAACACAGAAGGGAGGGGTGTAAACAACGGCATTCATTAGGGAGACATGAGCATTAAATCTAATGCACACCTAATATGAAGTTTAGGAAATTTTCTAATGATATATAGCCATTTCCTGATCAATATAGGAATGGATAAAATAGAACCTGAAGGAACTTATAATAAATTTGATTTTAAAAAAAATAATAATAAAATATATATATATATATATATATATATATATATATATATATATATATATATATATATATATATCACAGAAATATAATAGACCAGCGCGGGTTCATCAAAAAACCTCAAATTTTAAAAAAAATATATTTACTCACAACACATCTTAAAGGGATTAAATAGATTTTTAGAAAAGTTAATTCCATCAATGGTGCTCTTACTATTGCGATTTTCCAAAATTGATCCTTGACTTTTAATTTGGACTAAAAAGACACTTGGAGGGGTAGTGTAGTCATTCCATATTGGTAAATTACTTGCGTTAAGTAGAGGGGTAGTGTAGTCATTCCATCTTGGTAAATTACTTATACGATAAACTAATTTAGTGTTTAGAGAGAGAAACAATGGAAAACGCTCCCTCGGAAAACTCCGCCGGCAACCCAAGAAGATTAAGAAGTCGAAGACAAGGAATGCGATGGTCCAGACGAAGTCATGACCATCCCTACAGACACTCCACCGGAGACTGGTGAACAGCCAGCACCCAGCGAACTTCTAAATATCTGCACCAACGAGGCGATGAGAAGCGAAGCACCAGCGACAGTAGGATGAGAACCACAAGGAGATGAAATCGTTATGTCTGATGCCTAGCCTGCTTCTATCGACGGAGAACCCGCTACAACCCTTGAAAGAGAACCCACCCTGCCCCCTCGAGCCCATCGGAGGACAATGGAGCATGCTCTTACAAAGATAAGCTTGCTGCGAACGTTTGCTTGGCGAACGGTGGATTCGAGACCTTCTCCTTCCTCGATGACCCATCCAAATACGAATCTTAATATGCGTGAGTTTTGTGCTTAATGTGCGTGAGTCGTGTGTTTAAGGTGTGTGAGTTTTGTACTTAATGTGCATGAGTGTATACTTGATGTGAGTTGTTGTTTTTAAAACTTAAGGTGCGTGTGTTTTTGTACTTAACATGCGTGAGACTTGTGCTTAACATGTGTGAGATTTATGCTTAACATGCGTGAGATTGTGTTCTGAATGTGTTTTGTTTGTGTGCTTAATGTGCGTATGTTGTGTACTTTAAGTGCGTCAGATTAATGTTTAACGTGCGTCCACCCGCACAACCGCATAAGAAGCCTCAAATGCACCTAATCCCTTATATATATATATATATATTAGTGTTCAGGGACGGGGCGTGGCTGGGCGCGGAGGGGTGTTCCCGTTCCTGTCCCCGTCCCCACCGGGAAATTTCACAAGTTCCCAGTTCCCGTCCCCGTCCCCACCGGGAAATTTCACAAGTTCCCCGTTCCCGTCCCCTTCCCCTTCCCCTACGGAGACGGTGATCCCCAGCGGGAACGGGGCACATTGTCATCTCTAAAAATGACCAGGGATCGAGTCTCACCAGCGGCAGTGTGGGAGCAACCTTTCAAAGTGAGGGGGTTCCTTGTTAGTGGTCTAGTCTCTATGGTTCAATTAAGTTACCATAATTTATATCCTCCTAGATGCTCTGTCAGGCCGGTGTGGGGATCCTATCTTTCAACACCACATTATAGAAGTTTCTGCATACATAATATAAATTATTGTAATTAAATGATGGGGAGATTTCTTTTCAAATACGGAGTACTTTGCTAAAGGAGGGAAAACGAGTATTGAGAATATATAATATATGGAATGGAAAATACTATCTATACTCTCATTTTTTACTTCCAAGTTTTATTTCCACGCACAAAATGTTGATATAGACACTTGTATTAGGATCCACATAAAAAAAAAATAGTTTATCCATGCCAGTCATATCAAGAAGTTACATTTAGAGAGTGAGATTTGAGAGTTCATATAATAGAACTCATATGGAATATATGTACAAGTTGGACTCCACAAATATTTTAGCTTACTACATTTTTTTTAGAGTTCTATTATAAATTATTTTTCATGTGGGTTGCATTATAAGTGTTGAAATAAAAAATAATGAGAGTAAAGAATGAGAATCATTTTCTCCTTTTTTCTATACATCTTTGGACTGATCAATCATTCTACCAAAAATCTTCTGATAGTGAAGGCTAGTTTAAACGTAAATAAAAAATAATAATTATACCAAGGATTGATAAATTATACTAATGCAAAATTTTCCATTTTCACAAACACATGTTTGACATATGATTATGATTCCTCTTTCTGTACTTGTTCTTTCACTGTTTTTTATGCAATTAAGAGACGGCCTCGTCTGCATTCTGCACAAAAAAGCATCCACTTGTGTATTAAGGAGTAATTTTTTTATATTTGTATATACATACTGAGTAAGCATACGACAGAGATTAAAGGCTAAAAGAGTGATTAGGAGCTGAGGCAGCCATCCATTCTCAAAATCATTGGAAGGCACTGTTGACTGTTCTACACTACAACCAGACTGTTCTTTGCTCCATTCAGTATGAAATGGAAAACCCAATACAATGCACAGAAGAACATTTACTACAAATCAAAAGAATATACTGATGCAATTCACAGATTCCACAACAATGAATCACTAGTTCCTGGGGTCCTTGTCCTACGCGAAAACTGCTTTCATGTTAGCTGCTGCGCCTGAAGAGGAAGATGAAACCCGCATATCACCATCCCCGAAACTTAACTTGGCTCGAATATTATTCGTGTCTGACATCTGTTTCACAAACCGGGTAAAACTTGCAATATTCCGAGTATCAAAAAAGTGCTTGTCCATCCTCACAAAGTTGAACGAAAAGTACGGTGTTTCCAGACCATCTGAGTATAATCTTGACATATTTAACACATGTTCGAATGGAACACCATCTGAGTAGAATTTTGACATCTTTAACACCTGTTCGAATGATTGGTCATCCAAACTGGTGGCCGAATTTTCACCCACCAGGGGAAGATAACAGAATCTTGCAGCAAGTAAAAGTTGTCTAAGTAAACCTTCGGGACTGCTCACTGGATTTATCTTTTGCTCATGTGCATCTTTCATCTCGAAACATGGACAACATATGGTGAATCTATATCTACCGAACATGCGAGCAATTGGTAAATATCCATCTCTAATTGAAGTATTGTAATAACCAGCTGTTAGTTCTGATGGGTGAGATGGAGTACCATAGTGCCAATGGATCCCCGCCACTTTACCACTCAAATCCACTTCAAAACCCCTAAAAATGCTCTCTGCTTCCTTGCAAATCCTTTCCCCATGAAGCAACAGCATCCCCGAGTACCATTGTAGGAAGAAATCTCCATATGCTGTGTTCCAAGAACCATCACTTCTGAAAAATTCTGTGCTTTCTGGGTCGTGCATCAAACTGCTAGCACCAATAGGGCCACCATTTGCCCATTCACGCATACCTACTTCTCCAGCACAAGCATTCTGAGATGCCAGCATATACTGCCAATCAAGAAGAAAATAATCAAGTCTTAGGACTCAAGGAGATCGAGATGGGTATCATTCACTCTGAAAATCCAAGGATAAACAACACTGTTTGCTTCATACCCTATCATAACATTGGAATTCACCAAGTTCACGCGAGCGCCATGCGCTTGTTAGCTTTTTTGGAGGGCATGAAGGATATCTTAACTCACCGCCGGGACCCATTCCAACTTGAATCCCCTGTGAATCATATCATGATCAATCTAAGAGATCTTTTCTAGGTATCATAATAGAAATCTGCGTAAAAGCATGACACCAAGCATCTTACAGTTATGGTGGTTCCAAGGAATGCCTTGAAGATTTCTTTAAAGTCCTTCATAAAATCAGTATATGCTTGAACTGGTGATCGTCCATGCAAAATAGGCAGAACATCACATCCTAGGGAAATATATTCCAAGCTCCGTCTCCCAAACCTGTCTGAATATGCTAAATCTGGATCCTTCTCCATTTCTTCTAGCACCCATTTAGGAAGAGGAACCCTTGCAGAAAAAGCAATTGCAAATTTTAGGTTCAACGCACATAATAACATAGCACATTAAAGAGAGGAATGCTCAAGGATTTCAACTTTTAAGCAAGTAATTAAATGCGTTTAATACTGTCATTGATACAATGAACTCTGAAAAATGAGGTTGGTTTTTACAAGCAAATCAGAACCAGGAGCTTATAGACAATTAATTTTTCAGTTCTGAAAGTCACATTTCACTTTGGAGTTCCTGCATTTCTTTTAACTTGAGATTTATTGGCCCTCAAAGGAATATCCATAAATCAACAGGGCATTCAAGGCTTGTTATCCATAAAATAATAGTAGAATCAAAGATGACCAATCACACCATATTACAGAAATTGATAGTTAAAAAGAAATCCAAAGACAGTTTGGAAACTATAGTAAAAAATTGTTGCATGTCTTTGAGCATTCAACCACAAAAAGATAACAAGTGAAAGGTGGTCTAAAAGACTTGTGGACTTTAGAACTAGCTTAATATGACATGGCCAACCAAAACCACTCATCAGCCTAGGTTTTGGGGTAACCCTAGCCAAGATGGCTAAGGATGCAAACTTGTAACCACAAGGTCACAAGTTCGAATCCCGGCACTCTTGGTTTGAGCTGGTAGCTATGGGCAACCGAGGTTGGTTTACCTACTTGTGGTCCTTTGCCAGCTAGGGTCGTCACAAGGTAGGGTTTACCCCGTGCAGTCGTGCACACCCCCGGGTAGTGGCTGCGGGTCACCCCCAAAGAATGTTGGTTTTTGAGCATATAGTAGCATTCTAAGATCCTGCTTCTAGAGTCAAGAGACATATCAATTGCATACTGATAGGTCATTGAACAATAAACAGCTTTCCACGGAGAAACACAGTTAACTAATCCAAGGATAAGGCCAAATAAGAAAGAGCTATCAAACTACTTGCCAAGATCACTAATCTGAAATCCATAAATCCAAGTGTTTCAATTGACTATGTGTGTGAGTTCTAGACTTTAGATATTAAGCTTGAACAACTTTCACTAGTTCATGGCTAGTAATTGAAACCCAATGATATTCACTGCACTAGTGCTTAAAGGGTCTTCTAAAAAGTAGCTGTAATTCCAAAGCTAAGGAGGTGAGTAGTTCGGCAGAGTTACCCTAGTCAGCAAGAGCAGAGTTTACTTCCCCTACTTACATGCAAGTTCCACTGAAAGTGAATCATTCTTTTCTCTACTTTGATTGCCAGACAAGAACTTTTGTAGGACTATAAAATCTCCAGTAAGCCTAATGTTGTCACTAAGTTCACCACTTCTCATAATAGTCAATGAAAAACACCAACATTGCAAGCCTTCCCCCACTAGAGAGCAATCGTCGTGCTTGCAATGGGAAATACAGTTACATAGCTATGCAATGATAAGACAAAATAACAAAAAAACTAACTCCCCAAATCACTAATCTGAAATCCATAAACTATTGTAAATCTTGATGCTATTTCACTTGTAAGTTAACTCAATAGCATGATTAGGAAATGCTATTATAAGAAATTATTAGAAATACAACAGTTCCCATCAACCAGAGATTTATAATCTATTGAATTGGTTTATTATGTATTTATGCATACTAGAATCTAGATATTATAGGAACTGGGAAACCGGATAAATCGTAAAACGATGAAATGGTACCAACCAGAAGGGATCATTGGTCCCTGTGCCACACTGATGAAACGCCATTACAGCTCGAACCTTCAAGCCAATGCGCTTCGCCAACGCCACAATCTCCAAATAACCCTGCCAATTGTAAACCCTAGGCGATTCCCTCTCCACCAGCCCCCACCACACCTCCATCACGACTCCCTCCACTCCCATCGTCTTCAGCGCCGTGAACGAATGCTTCATGATCTTCTTCCTTGTCATCTGCCCAGAGGGCGAGCTGACGGCGTCCACCGGAAGGGTCACGAACACCGGCGTACCCCGCCGGTGAGGGTGAGGGTGCGTCGGTACGCCGTGCTGCAGCTCGTAGCGGAGTTCGCCGTCGGGGTCATTGGAAGACGCGGAGGAAGACGAGTCGAGCCTTGAATACAACGTCAACTTCCGAGCCGGGAACCGAGTGTGGATCGGCGGCAATAATCCTACCGTTCCTACGGAACCAGCTGCGCGGGCCGACCCGACCCTACAGCAGCAGAACGACGAGAATCTCGGAGCGGACGGCGAAGCGATCGCCATTGTTAAGGAGATTTCAATGCTTCTTTCTCTGTACAAATGGATTTTCTTTAAGAGTGCCCGTACTTATATAACTGAATTGGACAAGAAACTCAAGAAAGGCGGAAGAAACTGCCTATAACAGAGTTTGTTCACTAGTAACTGCGAGATGTTCAGGTGAAATCCCCATCACAATTCCTTTTCTGAAAATTGATTTTTTATTTTTCTAATTATTAAAAATTAAAAATGTTTCTCGGTACAGTAGTAGCAACTAGCAAGAGGTGAATATAGACCACAACTTAATAGGGTCCATACATTTTCAGTAGGAACTCCGGAGTATAATATTGCAAATTAAATATATGAGCTTAAATTTTTAACCAAATTGATCGTTTACTCGATAATCTCAAGGTTACAGATCCAACTCTTAATGAAAGTGACATATTAACCTTCATGATTTGAACCGATCAGCTATGAACAATTTTTGTACTTTGCCGGCTAATATCACAAGATGGGATTTCCTAGTGACCAGTGCACACCCTCGGGTAATTACTGTAGGTTTCTAGTCACTCCAAAAAGAATAAAAATAAAAATTGTGAACCCAGTTAATTTTAAGATGTGGAAATTAGAGAGATGATTTTATTCAAGAAACAAAGAACTTTTGGTTCCCCATTTGATCAATGTAATAATTATTTCAACCAAGGGAGTAGAAATGCTGTAAATACATGTTACACTGTATCAGGATGCAAAGAGTATGGTCAAATCTTTAACCGGAATGAAATGACTGAGAACCGATAAGTGCAAGCTTTAGGGAGTTAAGGTTCAGATAATTGAAAATTTGAAACTAAACACCAGCTCTTGGGTTGCCTGCACCTGCTGCCACAACACCCATGCCACCATCTGTAGTGACATCCGCCGTTTCCTGGGCAGTTGATTTTGTGATGGCAACCCGGTCACCATCAAGCTCATTCACAAGTTCATCGATTTTGCGGAACTGGTAAGGCCATCTGACATTGTACAAAAACTGTCGAAGATCAAACCTGTTGTCCTCTGGTGAGTAACTCTGCACGATGCAAAACGGTTCGAGTATTCAGTGGCCTATGGAGTTATAGACTAGGCGGGAAATTACAAGTGCATTTACTAACGGAAGAAATTAAACCGGAGAATAGAAGTAAATGCAGGCTAATGTTCCGAAATCTGCTCTAAAGAAGAGAGGTACCTCAGCATGGTATGAAGGTGTTAACACAGTCATCTTGTGTCTATTAATGGAATAGTACTTGAAGAAATACTTTACTTTATCAGCCACCTCCTTTGGCGTTAACTTTGTACCCCATTTGTAACAGAGATTCTGCAGAGCCAATTTCAATTCGTGATCGTGATGCAAATAATAGTTGTGAAATACAAAATAAGGTTCAAAATATACTTCATATAAAGGGGCAAACCTTAAACATTGATACAGGCCCACAGCGGAAAATCTTGCGCATTCTTCCATAAACTGAGAGTTCGTCATATGTCATTCCCATGTCCACTTCATCCAGCTGTTTCACATAAATAGCATCAGACTTCACATAATGTAACTCTTATCAGATATGTACTCATATTCAGATTGGAACTGTTGTTCTTACATTCAACAAGCAGTCAAGAAAAACCTTCTAGTAGCAATGAACATATAAAATGCAGATATGGATTTCAAAATGAATAAATAAAATGCAGGTATGACCAATAGATGCACCCATAACTGTGACAAAAGACCAGGAAAGAAGTATCCAGAACAAATGACTAAAAAACTAGTGTGCCAAAACTAAGACCTGGCTATAGTTGGATCGTATAGGCTCCAATTCAGCAGTGGGAGGAGCTGCTTCAATTTCTGCCAAGGATGAGTAACCAAGATGAATGGCTGCCCATCTCAGAAATGTTCGAAGATCCGTCTTACTGATACTTCCAATTGGATTTATATCAGCTGAACTGCAATCATACTGCAACATGCAGACAGTTAAAATTACATTGGTACATTGCTTCCAATAATATTAAGTGCATGCCATTTTTATGTACTTAATATGGAGTATTAACAGGTGATTCTGGCCATCCAAAATAAATAAAACAAGAATGTGGTTCACCTTTGTTAGATAACCACGCAATGCTTCATCTACATTGGAGCTACCCAAAACCAAATAAAAACCTGGTTTACTATGAACCCATGGAAGGAGTGATGCTAGCATGAATGCTAGGACCATTCTGACTCGAGCTTGAATATTTTGCAGTGCCAAGTTCTCAGTGTTTGATCCCCCATCTACCTGGAAATGAAGAATCAGTAAGTCAATATTGTCAAATAAAGAAGGTCCCTTAGTCAAATAAGTGAACTAAAAATGGTTCTCCCAGAATGCTTGAACATCCAATCAATTCCAACTTATCTATTGGCCAAAATATATACTTGCTATTAAGATATCTTTTAGTTAATAAACAACAAAAATGAAGTTTCAACCATTATACCTTATAGCGTGGACGCTTCCCGGTAAGTGTTTGAAACAAAGAGATCAGAGAAGAGACCACTGCATCTATGCTAACATTAAGATGCCATGATCCAATTTCATCGGCCAGAAGCTTTGCCCTAGATGTGGTGGCTTCAGAACTATTGTAAACATTACACAGAATCACCAAGATGAGGGCTGTTTGAAACAATGAATTCTAAAATTCAAAAAAAAAAAAGAAGACCCTTGACAGTTTTGCTTTCATTTTCTGGTGCCACTATAACCTAATTGACAGGACCATTGTTGCTATATTTGATTAGTACTTACAACTTGATCTAGATGATGGTTTTTATGCATTTATTTTGATAGAAAATTAATTTACTAATCAATGGACTGGTTGTCCCGAACATATCGAAAGGAAAGCAGATAAACATGAATTCCAAGAGTTTTGAGTCAAAGATGTACTGCACCAAATTTGGAAGTAATTTCAGTTCACACTGTCTCCTAATTGAAGGGTCATTTATATTAAAGCACAAAGTAGAGTTGGCTCTGTCCTAGTTCATCTGCCAACATTTCCACCCTAATTGGTTTCAGTTCATAAATAATAAATATTGTTACTGTTATAGTGTTATTGACTTTCTTTATAGTTTGTTCTTCCTTTAAGCATCTCCTAGATGCCTTTTCTTTTTTTAATGACTCAAATCATTACTTACCAAAAATAAATATATGATGTTTTAGTGGGGGTTTAATACAGAATTGCTTGACCAAAACAAGGATGTATAAATTAATTCCAAGTCCAGTTGGGATTTTGCAAGCAACTGCAAAGATTTATTACTGTAAATATATATATATATTTTTTTGGCAAGTATAACTGTAAATTTATCAAAATTCAAAATTACCTAGGTTAATCCAGATCCAATATCATTATATTAGATAAGAAACTTAGATGTTTAACACATGAACTCTTAAATACGTAGTAAGTTAAGGTGCAAAGGCACCATAGTCTTAAAAGCATACCTATTTTCAGATCCCATGAAAACTGTATAAAATATCCGTTTAGCAAATTCTTTGCTATCTGTTGGGAACTTTCCATCAGTGTAATGGCCAATTCGCATAGCATCAGCTTTGACTTGTTCATCCCCATTTGCAATTTCTGCATCACATGCATTTTTCTTATTAATAAGTACTTCTACATTCTACAGTCATGCAGGTCTACATTAATTGGGAGGCCTGGTTGCCTAATGCCTAGCGAAGAAACTTCTCAAACCACTTTGATTTATTTTCACTAGGCTGAGTTAGTCAAGCTGAGCAGTTGACCCTGCTATTGAAGCTTGGGTCTTTCAAAAAGTGAGCATACATTAATGTTATTGTAGTCCATGGTGTCAGCCTAAGACTCAGTACAAGAGATCTCAAGTTCAATTCCCTGTCCCTCAAATTTATTACCCAAAAAAAAAAAAACATTAATCTTCAAACTCGGCTCACTTACTTAAACAGGTCAAACCAAACTCAAGAATTCAAATAAAATTCCAAAATTAAATGAATTTTTTGTACATTATATTTATACCATAGAACAAATTATATATACATATAATGCATATAATATTCACTAACATTATATGATTCAAGTGAGCTCAACTTGGACCAGCTCATTTATTAAACAAACCTTTGAAATGTTCAAGCTCAACTCCAGTAGTAAAAACAAGTTTAGCACAACTTTTCTCATTAAAAGCATACTTCTCACCAAAGACTATTCAGTTAGACTGTAAAATGGGGTGATAAAATAATATGAGATTCATGTTCAGATGAAAAGGGACTAAGGGAGATTAAAGTACCTTTAACTACAAGCTGACACATTGATCCAACTATTGCGGCAACAGAGGAACTATCTGCACCACCTGAAAGTGGGAGCAAAAAACCAGATGCACCACTTCTTCTTAAATAATCCCATAGCCAGCAAGCAGGCCCAAGAGATATTTCCTCCTCGGGGGAGTGATACCTAATCTACAAACAGTAAGCAAAGCTGACTATGCAAAGTGTTGATTGAGGAAGCTAAAACAAGGCTGATTGTAGCACAAGCCAATTAGCTTAGACAACCACTAGAATTGCTAGATGAAAAGAAAAAATACATTTGAGCAAACAGAGAGATGAAACATTACAAGAAAAAACAAATGTAATGGACTTTTAACAAGATAGCAAGAGGTCCTATTACCTTAAGAGGACTAGATAGTGACCTTTGGAGATTAAAGGATTGGCAAAGCTTGTAAGCAACAACTACTGCAGAAACTTTTGGTTTGCAACTAGCCTGCTCTTGAAAACTACTGATAGATGCTCTAAGACTAGCAACCTAGCATATAAAGCAAAAGGAAAAATTGGTAATCGATTAGCTAACAGAATGATATATTAATAAACAGCAGATAAATAATGTATTCCGACTGCAACATAACAGAAAAGCAAGATGTTTTAGAATCATACATTAGGTAGAAACATTCAACTAGTATAACTTTGTAAAATAAAAACAACAATAATCAAGCTTTATTTAGCTTTTTAAAACTATACTGATTTATCTAGTAAAAACTATACTGAATATGCATTTTAGGCATATCACTAAATACATGACAATCTTGAATGTCTCCCATAGCTACTCATGAAACCCAGATGAGTGCTAGCAAGTGATAAATCAAAATGCTACCTCAATTCCTTCTGAACTCTTATCAAATAAATCCGTGACTTCTAATTACAATGTAAGAAGGGAGGTCCAAGTTCCATGGCACCTCATTATTCACAAAAATAATAAATAATTTAAATGCCATTTTTTACATTAAGAACCATACAAAAGAAACAAATAACAAAATACAACAGTACTTGAAGAATGGAAAAGAGCAAATGAATATAATGAATGTGTCTCATGCATTGTATCATACAAGTTACTGGCAATGCAAAATCAGAATATAAGAACTTAGGCACAGGAAAAGGCATGTTTTTACAATGTAAACCCATGCTGTAATTTTTTCAATTAAGAGTTTGCACCATACCGCATCTAGGTCAATTTCAGCAAACACCATTTCAACATCCTTCAGAGAAAATTGTGAACCTTGAGCTAAAAGATCTCCATTGACAACCACACAAGAACATCCATCTGCAGAACAAAAAATAATCAACTACGACATTTTCCTAATTCCATAGGGCAGAAATGCTAGTAGAGTGAGTAAAAAGCACTAAAATAAGGAACTAAAATCTTACAAAGAAATATCAATAAGTTTAATCAAAACAAAAAACTGAAAAGTAAATAGGTTGCATGCTATTACCAAAATAAAGCCGACCACCATCACATCCTTGTTGATTGCTGTACATGTACACTCCTCCCCGTGTGTGTGTGGCACTTATGAAAGCACGAATGCGAAGATCAAGCTTTCTTAATTGATGATGGCTTCCACTTGCATTCATAAACACTTCAACGCCATTCAATGCAAGTTCACCATGGGGTGGTGAAGGTACAAAAAGTTCCTCACAAACTTCAGCTGCAACAGCTCTGAGGGAAACATTTATTCCAACATGTTAGATATGTCAGCTCTGTCAAAAGTTTGGTGCCTGTTAACCAAATGCCTCACTTTGGACTAGATTTAATGCTACTATAAATCAGGCATTGTTTTGGTTATATGTTCAGAAGCATTTGGGCAGAGAAGTCTCTCAGAAACAGTCTATGAATTGAAATTTTTTGGATTTCATAACTTTTGTGAAATTAAAATCTTAGACCAAAATCTATGAATATTTAATATCACTGTGAAGAAAAATAGAAAGGATAGACATAACCTACGTGTCTAAAAACTGGATATAGCCATAGCCAAATGGCACAGTTGTCTGAGACAAAGCTTCAGAAATTTCACTTGGGAGCTGAAAATCCTCAAGATCTCTTCTCTTCCATGCCGTAAACCATCGAAGTTCCCTGTAGTTTCCATCATTTGCTAGCCACATCTTGGGTCGTATCATTAATATTTTCCTGTTAAGACAAAATACTTGACAGTTGTAATGCTCTGACCCTTTGACAACAGGCATTCCAAAACTACACAATATGCCATCTGTCCAATCACCTAGTAGTAATTCTTTTAAGCACTCCCACCTGCAAATTTGCTAGAACATGAGCATCCTTTCTAAAAACTGAAGGTAGCGTAAATCAATAATTTACTATGCAGATTAAAGTAACATTTTAATACACCAATATAAGAACAAAACTTCTTGAGTCGAAAAATTAACATCTCCTTGTTTATCAAGGTTATCTTGATTCTAATGGGACGCAGACTTGTTTCAGTATACACAGCTTTGACTGAGTAACTAAACTTCACTTACTTTTCAGCTCAGTTCTAACAATCTGGAAATTTCTGAATACGAGCGAGTTTCAAAGAAGCTTACGCATGAGAGACGGTGTCGAGTTCGAGGAAATGATCCTCGCAGCCATAGCCAGTGATTTCGAGCTCGGGGCCGAGCCTGATCACAGCTCCCGCCGCTTTAGCCCTAGAAATCGAATCCTTTATGTTCTTCATATTGCAGTCGAAATCCATAGCCCATTGGTTCAAATTACACGTCGCCACTTTCAACAGCCTCATCTTTTCTTCTTCTCTCGGCTTCAATTGCTCTGCAAAATATTTAAATTTCTCAACACCGCATGCATAGAAAGTGGGCCTTTATATATGTATGGCCCTGGGAGATGTTACACGAATCGCGAGGCTAAGATGATTTTTAGCCGTTGGATTGGAAGAATCTTGAGATGGAATTTGATTCCGTTGGTATAATTGCACAGTACGTGGCTGTTTCAACTTTCAACCCAATGGTCCAATTCTACTACCGTGCACCGTTTGATGGGTCGGACTAGACCCGGAAGTTTGACGAGGTGGGTCTTAGCTGACCCGTTTGACGGGTTATGCATTGTTTGACGGATTAGAAACGAATAAAATGAACTGAAAATTCTCGACTTCAATACTTACCAACACTTTCTTAGTTCAATTTTCCGTACATGATTTTTTAGTATAATTTAATTTATTACATAAGAGTAAGATTTATTATATATACACCATTGATTGCAGTATATTTCTCTTACCCCAAACAATTACCCGGAATATCGAGTTATCAATTCACAGGGAAATAGAGCGTATCAAGCACTAGCTACTAATATATTCTTGTGAAGTTAATCCTAATGAAAGACATGGATGATTGATTAAAACAATTTGATGGATATATTAGGAGAATGGATGCGGGGCACAATCCGACCCGGGGTGGCGGCGTGACACGATAGGCTTTGGGGACCCCATCGGGGTCCCCAGCGTGGACCTCGGGCAAGGACTACTGCGTGGACCTCGGGCAAGGACTACTGCGGGGACTTCGGGCAGGGACTACTGCGAGAACCTCAGTTGGGGACCCCACCGGGGCCTCCCCGCGTGACTCGGTCAACTAAGATCCAATCGCCCGCCCTATTCTCTTGGGGTCGGTTGGGAGAACTATTTAGTATAAAAGGGCGCATCCTTGTCTTGTTAGGACATCTACTTCCTATTTATTATTACCATATTTACCTTGTAATTCTCCTGAAAACATTATCAATACAAAGGTGTCCCCGCGACACGCATTCAACGTCTTTCCCAATCCCTTATCTATCGGGTTTAGTAATTCGGGTCTACCCCGTGTTAATTAAATCCATCATTGGTGCTCTTGATGAGAGTTGACATACAAGCTCGAGCGTGCTCCATATTCCACGAACTATGGCAAGATCGAGGTCCAACTCTCGCGGCTCCCGTAACACCCGTGCCTCCCCGACTAGGGGTGGCCTCAACGGGACCACTAGTCAGCCACAAGTCCTATCTTTGAGGTCGGCGGGTGACCTCAGAGACCGCCTTAACAACCACTGCAACGACACAACAGCCGCCCGTCCTCCCCCGGATCCTACCCTCTTCCAGGAGGGGGTGGCCGCCCTTCAACAGGCCTCAATGACATTGGACCGCCTCGGCGAGGGCTCCAGGAAAGTGTTCCGGTCAGCCCAGGGGCTGCCCAAGGGGCCCCAACCCCGCCTCCGGCACCCTCGAGGGGGCGTAGCGGCCCGAGGGCCTCAACGGGACCACTAGTCAACGAGTGCTTTCTTTGAGGTCGCGAGTGACCTTAGAGATCACCCCATCGACCACCGCAATGGTGCGCCGGCACCCCCGTCCTCCTCCAAATCTAGCTCTTTTCCAGAAGGGGGCGGCCGCCCTTCAGCAGGCCTCAGTGACATTGGCCCGCCTCGCGGAGGGGCTCCAAGGAGGTACGTGGGTCGGCCCGGAGGCCACCCGAAGGGTGCCAACCCCACCTCCGCTTTCCCCGAGAGGGCGCAGCGACCCAAGCACCCAACCACCGCAATGGCACGTCGGGGACCCCCGCCGCCCCTCCTCCGAATCTCGCTCTCTTCTAGGAGGAGGCGGTGGCCCTTGAACAAGCTTCCATGACGCTGGCCCGCCTCGCGGAGGGGCTCCAAGGAGGTACGTGGGTCGGTCCTGAGCCCACCCGAGGTGTGCCTACCCCACCTCCGCCAATCCAACCTCGCCTAGCAAGAAGAGGAGTTATTAACCCATGGTCGTGGTCGTGCGCGCCGACCCCGACCTTGGCTTTCCCTAACGGTAGTATAGGGGGGACGCCCCCGCTCACTACTACCTAGCGAAAGAACCTATAAGAGGTCCTACGGCGGCACCCTGCTACTCTACTTATACCACAACGAGGCAAGATCAGACATTGAGGAGGTCGACGCAAGGGGACCTACCCAGTCCAACCCCTAGACCTCAACCACAAGCACACCTCCAAGATAGCTTGGGTGAAGAACCCCAGGAAATCCAGTTCGGAGGCCTACCTGGCACTCCCCTTGCAAGCTCAAGCTCCCTATTGGCTCGACCACCTTAAGGAGTACAAGAAGACAGGCGTCCTCCCCCCAGGAAAGGGGGAGGCCAAGCTCGTGAAAAGGAGGTCCCCAACCTGCCTACTCCTCAAGGACACACTTTGCGGAAGGGTCTACAACGGCACCCTGCTACGCGACCTATACCCCGAGGAGGGCCACCGGGGAGACCCCATTCTCCTCGCTCTACGACTTTGAAGCCCGGACCTCCTCCGAGGTAGCAATACCTTCCCATCAGGCAGAAGAATATGACCCCTGCCTCAACGAGGGCAACCACCGGACCTCCGCGCCGAGAATCACCAACGCCAAGCTAAGGCCTACCACGACAAGCGTGGTATTTCCAATATATATATCTTGTAAGGTGGCCCGCCGCCCTTCAGCTCCAATAAACGTAGTAAAACTTCGTCATGGACTCATTTTCACTATTCCGGGAGGGGTGGAGGTACCCATCCAGCCTCTTCGGTTACCCTAAGGGGGCACGAGGCCCGACCTCGCGTACAAACCCCGACGGAAGAGCTTAAACGGCCCAAGTCCGGTGACTTGGGGCCGACGGGCTTACCCTAAGGGGGCACGAGGCCCGACCTCGCGTACGAACCCCGACGGAAGAGCTTAACGGCCCAAGTCCGGTGACTTGGGGCCGACGGGCTTACCCTAAGGGGGCACGAGGCACGACCTCGCATACCAACCCCGACGGAAGAGCTTAACGGCCCAAGTCCGGTGACTTGGGGCCGACGGGCTTACCCTAAGGGGGCACGAGGCACGACCTCGCGTACCAACCCCGACGGAAGAGCTTAACGGCCCAAGTCCGGTGACTTGGGGCCGACGGGCTTACACTAAGTAGAGCCCAAACTCCGGGTCTGGGCCGAGGCAATGGGGATATTCATCAACCGAAGTCAAACACGACCAAGGAGGGCGCACGGGGACTCAAGCTTAGCCCTCCCAAGGCGACCCTAAGGGGGCACGAGGTACGACCTCACGTACCAACCCCGACGGAACCACTAAGTAGAGCCCAAACTCCGAGTCTGGGTCGAGGCAACGAGGATATTCATCAACCGAAGTCAAACACGACCAATGAGGGCGCACGGGGACTCAAACTTAGCCCTCCCAAGGCGACCTTAGTTGGGGTAGTCCCGGCTAGAGGTGACCTCGGCCGGGGAAGCCTCGGCTAAGGGTGGCCTAGAGCCCGACTCTCTCTAACAAGGAAGCTACCTCATGAGCTTGCCCAAGAGGAGGACGCATCTTGGAGGCCACCTCAGGGGCTCGCCCAAGACGATCCATCAAGGAAAGCGCACGAAAGAAGTAAAGTGAACTCAGGAATCAAAGTCTCATACACGATGCCAAGGAGTCCAAGACTTGTTAAGTGTTCTTGCGGAGGAGGAGTTCCGGAGCAGGAGGTGGGGCAGAAATTTTCCCAGGGGCTTGGGGTCAACCTTCGGCTCAAGCTACTCTCTTTCGCTAATGAAGACTCGTAACTCAGAGAGTGGGGGACTCATGATGGATATATTAGGATAATGGTTTCGGGGCAATCCGACCCGGGGTGGGGGCGTGATACGAGAGGCCTTGGAGACCCCAACGGGGTCCCCGACGTGGACCTCGGGTGGGGCCTGCTATGGGGACCCCAGTTGGGGACGACCTCAGAAGTCGGCCAAAGAGGAAGGAGGCGGGGCGTGTCGACCTTATACTCGAGCTACTCTCTTTCGTTGACGAAGACTCGCAACTCAGTGAGTGGGGGACTCATGATGGATATATTAGGAGAATGGTTTCGGGGCAATCCGACCCGGGGTGGGGGCGTGATACGAGAGGCCTTGGAGACCCCAACGGGGTCCCCGGCGTGGACCTCGGGTGGGGCCTGCTATGGGGACCCCAGTTGGGGACGACCTCAGAAGTCGGCCAAAGAGGAAGGAGGCGAGGCGTGTCGACCTTATACTCGAGCTACTCTCTTTCGTTGACGAAGACTCGCAACTCAGAGAGTGGGGGACTCATGATGGATATATTAGGAGAATGGATGCGGGGCACAATCCGACCCGGGGTGGCGGCGTGACACAAGAGGCCTTGGGGACCCCATCGGGGTCCCCAGCGTGGACCTCGGGCAAGGACTACTGCGTGGACCAAGGACTACTGCGGGGACTTCGGGCAGGGACTACTGCGAGGACCTCAGTTGGGGACCCCACCAGGGCCTCCCCGCGTGACTCGGTCAACTAAGATCCAACCGCCCGCCCTATTCTCTTGGGGTCGGTTGGGAGAACTATTTAGTATAAAAGGGCGCATCCTTGTCTTGTTAGGACATCTACTTCCTATTTATTATTACCATATTTACCTTGTAATTCTCCTGAAAACATTATCAATACAAAGGTGTCTCCGCGACATGCATTCAACGTCTTTTCCAATCCCTTATCTATCGGGTTTAGTAATTCGGGTCTACCCCGGGTTAATTAAATCCATCACAATTAAAGGAAAACAAGGTATTCAAGTTTGTGAAAACAATAGGAAGAATATGAAATTTTTGGGATTCAAATATTTAATCACCTAGTGTCAATCTAATGTGCAATATTAAATATGGGTTTAAACAAGGGTTAGAATGTAACAAGGGAAATAGTTACTCCCGTAATCTCTATCTCTAACATAAAACAAGTGATTATTCACTCTCGTGATATAAACACTCAACAATGTAAGAACAAACATTCAAAATAAACTTTTAACTACTGCCATCTCCCGATGTGCAATAATCAATAATTAAACTCCTTAACCAATATAATTTGCCCTCTCCCAATGTGCAACAGTTAAGTGTGTGCCCTAAATTATGCCTAACTCCCGTTATGACACAAAGAAAGCTATGAAACAAGTAACTATGACCACTAATTACAAGCATCAACAACATAAACCACAATTGCAACACAAGTATAAAACCCAAATATTAATATATTAAAGAATTTGAGAGCACATGCACACAGGTTCATAAACATTTTTTACCCAATAATGTCTAAGAAAACTTAGCCACACATGACTAATATGCAATACATAGCAATAATAAAGAGTTTACTAGTAATAGAAAAAGAGTAAAAGAATAAACCAAGTGATTCTCCCAAATCTCCCTAGCTTTTTTCTTGCTTCCCAAGACACCTCGTAACTCTTAATTCTCTTCTTTCTTGTCTCCAAAACTTAGCGTAATGCCCTAGGGTTGAACAAAATGGGCTTTTTATAGTTGAAGCTCAATAGAAATAGATTAGGAAATTTGCACACAACTTTCCAAAATCTCGCCCAATGACGGAAGTCCGGTTTGCAGGCTTATTTTGACCATTTTTCCTTCTGATATAGACTTTGATGTCTTCATATTTTTGCATTTATATTTCTTGAAGTTTTGAATTCTATGTTTATTACTTCAATTGCTTATAGTTTTACATTTTAATCATGAGTAGTTAAACATATCTAGGGATTTGGATTGAATTTCTTTGTATAGATTCCAATGTGAATTGAATTGCATAAATTAAGTTTTGTATTGCCTTCATATTGAACTTGGTTATGAATTGGATGAAATTGAATGGACTCTTTCATAGTTATGGCCAAATTATGCAAGAGATATTTGGAATTGGTGAATCACCTATGAGAATAGGGTTACACCATAGCCATATCTTTCATATTTCTTACTTTCCTTTGAGAAAATAGATTTTGAAGGAAATGAGCACGTAAAGTGTTTGTTGAATTGCCTCATCTAGCCAAGTTGCCATGAGAATGAGACTTCGGATTAGTTGATAGTCCAATTGATCACGAGAGTGACGTTGGCACTTACACCATTTCCCCAAGTTTGACGTTTGGAATTGCATAACTTAAACTTTAGACTACAAAGGGTATTCTATGTAAGGTTGTTTGGTTCAATTAATCTTTCTTTCATCTATTATCTTTAAATTCACTTGTTATCATTATAGTTGTTTGAACATGAAACACTCAATTATCTATTGGTTAGCTTTCAAACATTGTATGAACTCGTGCTTAACCCCTTAAAGCGATTCCTTATGGCGCCGTTGCCGGGGGAAATCATGGTAACTCAACTGAACCACAGAGGCTAGACCCCAAGGGCCCCGCACACCCCTAGACTAGATCTTTGCTTACTGCGCACAAGGAGCCTCCCTCACTTTGAGAGGTTGCTCCCACACTGTCGTTGGTGAGACTCGATCCCTAGTCATTCTTCCCAAACTTCACCACTATAACCAACTAAGCTGCCCATGCGGGCTTGTCTTAGTTAATCATAACTAGCTGAGTGGAGGAGATGAACAAATATTATAAGTGAATGAATGAATAACGTGAAGATATCATTAATGAGAATTAAAGTATATATTATAATCTATGATAAGAATGAGTGTACAATTACCGAACTGAGAAATGTCGACCTCAACCCCACTTATATCGCCAATCGAAAAGTTATAACTTTAGTATAACATCTTGATGAAACTACTAATCAAATGGTAATCCTTATTTTATGACATGAGTTAGTATGTTGCAACTTTATTGGCTAAAATATATAGCAAGGTAACACGATAAAGTACACAATAGTTATGTTAATTTGTCCAAAGTAATGATCACCCACTACATGATGTTTAGATGTTATATATGATGGAGTAGTGGGGACAAAAAGCATATTGATGGGAAAAAAATAAAGTTGATTGAATGTATTATGTGATGAGAAATTATATGCATTTGTGCACATTTATTTTCCCATCTTAGGACTAAAAAGAGGGACACAAAACACTAAAAATATATACAATGAATTGGACATTTAGGGAATTAAACCACGATCAGTACTGTGGGAAGGTACTATGATACCACTACACCAGATGTGTTTTTTTGCAAATGAGTGTACGCTTAGCAAACTGAGAGATGTCGACCTCAGCCTTACTCACGTCGCCCTCGAAAAGTTAGAAGTTTAGTATAACATCTTGATGAAATTACCAATCAAAAGATAATCCTTATTTATGAGTTAGTATGTTGCAACTTCATTGACTAAAATATGTAGTAAGGTAACACAATTGGTTACGTTGATTTTTTCAAAGTAATGATCGCACGCCACATGATGTTTAGATCCTATATGATCTAAAACAAATACACAATGAATTACACATCTAAGGAATCTAAGGAATTAAACCATGGTCGGTATCGTGGGAGAGTACTATGATACCACTACACCAAATGCATTTTTTGTGAATGAGTGTACAATTAACGGACTGAGAGATGTCGACCTCAATCCCACTCACGTCGCCAATCGAAAAGTTAGAAGTTTAGTATAATATGATAATCGTATTTTTTTTTTTGAATACTATTGACTCTATTACAATGCAGTATCTGTTCATAACTACTTTCTCAACCAATTGAGAGCAACTTGGTGCCATTGGACAACAAGATCCTTGGCTATAATCGTATTTTATGAGTTAGTATGTTGCAACTTCATTGGCTAAAATATGGAGTAAGATAACACGATAAAGTACACAATAGTTATGTTGATTTGTCTAAAATGATCGCACGCCATATGATGTTTAGATGCTATATGTGATGGAGTGGGGGCAAAAAAACAGATATTGATGGAAAAAGATAAAGTTGATTGAAAGTATTATGTGATGAGAAATTATATGCATTCGTGCACATTTATTTTCCATTTTAGGACTAAAAAGAGCTGCGGAACACATAAAAATATGTAGTGAACTGCGCATCCGGGGAATCGAACCCCGGTCAGTACCGTGGGAGGGTACTATGATACCACTACACCAGATGCGCTTTTGATCTCCACTCTTTAAACGTAATTAGTAGAATGAAAATTGGAACATAGGGTTTCCGTTAGCTCCATTGATGCTGCTCCTTAAAGCCGTATAGCCAATTCGGTGGGTAGGCATCTCCGACTCTCCTCTCTTGACGACGAACAACCTCACAACTTTCTCTGCGCTCTTGCTATGCTTCAGTAAGTAAAAATGAAATTGGCCTTCATTCACGCGATTATGCATAAAGTCTGGTTTACTGTGATTATGCATAAATAAACTGGATTCAAAATTTGCATATTACTGTATTATTATTATTATTATTTATTGCATTTGTTTTCAGTACAATTAAATCTGACCCCTGTTGAGCATTGATCATTGATCATTGTTGAGTACAACATATCATCCCCATGACTCCATCCGCATTGCTGTAATCATGGAATCTATAATGATTGAATTAACATCAAGCAATATTTTTGTTCTAGCTTCTGGTTTTCCGACCTATATATATATATTCAAATTGCTATGATTTTTGATAAACTGGAACTACAAAAAGACCATTGGAAACTTGGTTGTTAAACGTTACCAGCGTCTCTATGCGGCTAATCGGCTATGCCCCTTTTTCCTTCGAGCAAAGCAGCATCCGGAGGCATTTTTGGATGATATACAACCTCGCCCTTTTCCCCTTCAAAATCTTGCTTCTTGGTTCCTTGATTCCTGCTTCCTTGTTCCCTGAAGTAGAGGCTCTTGATGGTGTAGATTGTGTCACGATTTTATTCATTTTTGTTTATTGACTTTTTTGGGCTGCCTGGAGAAGAAGTGGTGGTTGTGTATCTCCTCTAAACCTCGGTGAGAGTTATGGGTTTTGATTTCTTTGGAGTGACACACCTGTTATTTATTAGGTTGAAATCTGAAGACTGTTGCCACCACCAGGCTGTTGACAGTGAAACAGGGCCATGGTTTCTGCTTCTTTAGTGCCCTCTTTTTAAGCTGGGGGGGCTGATAAGCTCATAAATCTGATTTCCATGTTAACTGCCTTGTCTGTCTGTTGTCTATGCTTTAGCTTAACTAAAAGGACAACAATACTCTGCAGGTGTTTAATGTTTGACCAGATCATTTCAAATAATGAATCCACACTTGATGCTGAAAGGACACCTGGTCTTCCTTTTCCAGTCATACACTGGCATCTGGGATCTTTTCGGTTTCTGCTGCTCTTCTTCTGTGAAGGAATCCAATAAATTGTTGCTAAATATCTTGGCAAAAATCATTTCTGGTTGCGCCCTTATTCTTGTTTGTTTTATTATCCAGAAGAAATATTTTGCTACTAAGGGAACATATGTCTATATAGATAAATATGTGTGTACATCTGTGTTTGTATACACACACACATGCATTTTTTCCATGTTTAACATAATTTCCTTCTACATTTACCTTTTCTAATTCATTATTTTATATCTACCTTTATTTATCTTTTCTCTGTGGGAAGTTATCTTTCCTGACAGCCACCAATTGGTTTTCTAGATATGACCTTCATTTTGGGTCTGAATTTTTTGGTGGTTCAGTTTGCCTGTACTGAAAGCTCTTATGATGAATTTACAAGTTATTTATGTCGTTCCAATTTCTGAATCTCTGGTTTCGTATCCAGAGTGGTTGTGGAACTGAAGGGACAACTGAGGACTTTTGCTTACAGGCCCTTGACCGCATTTACATCTGCATTGAATTGTAATCTGTGTGTGATTTAATGTCAGCAGTTTAGAAAGTCATCATCTTCTTTTTTTTTTTTTTTTTTTTTTTTTTTTTTTTTTCGGTTTTGTTTATTGTGGTTTTTGTTTTTTTAAAAAAGAAAACTTAAGGTTTCTTCACTGCTAGAAGAGCTTCCTTGCTTTTGTTGATGAGCTTGACCTTGAGTTTCAGTCAAAGAGGTCTGATTATTGGCTCCTGTTTTTGGTTGAGTACAATTATTATTTGTATGTGAGCAATAGATAGCAGAGCAACACAAAGGAGTTCATATGTTTTCTAAAACCTTACAAGAAGTATTGGGGAAATTGGGCAATGGTTTGATTGCTGGATAACGAATGGTAATGCATCAAGCCATCAAGTTATCCAAGCAGATGCCTTTGGAAAAACCTTACTAAACATTCCTACTTTCATTACAATAAAGACCATCTTTTCGACGTTTTGAATCTTCCAATTGTTTTAGGGCATTTATAAATATAAATTGTAGATTGTAAAGCTTTATACTAGAATAAAAAGCCATTTGCCTCAAACTTCATTCTGTGGGGGATTTAGTTAATTTATTTTGCCTTGTACATATTAGTTTCCACCTTCTAAGAGACTCTGTTTGCATAGTAATTGAGGCATCCTCATGACTTATGATCTTTTTTTTTTTTTTCTTGAGGAAATGACTTATGATCTAGAATGCGCTTTACCCAATAAGCTCAAATTGATTTATGCCATTGAAAAATGTTAAGAAAAAGATTTTTTTTAAAAAAAGGTTACAGATGAAGCGTGGACTGAAATTTATCTTACGCATGCTAAATTTCATCCATATTACTTTTTCTATAACAAGTCTTTGTTGTGCTAGGTTACCTGGTCCTGTTGAGTGTGGTGCCCATGTTTGAGGCCATATCATAAAATTGAATGAGTTTTTGCTACATTTTATGATGTAATTTTATTTCTCTTTTTCTTCATGTTGTACTCACATCAGAGAGGAACTGATAGCCAGCCCTGGGCTTGGAGGCCTCTCCTGTCCTCAAACTACTTGACGCGAGGGACCATCCTTGTTTCGTGCTGTGTGAATTTGTGAATGACGTGACAGTTCGTAACTTTTCAGTGTGTTCAAAGGGCCTGCAGCACTCGCATCTTATTTGACAATGCAGAACAGCTATGGTAAAGTACATCACTTGTTCTAATTATTATTCAAAAAGTAAATTGGAATCTATTTATCTTATGCATTGTTTTGACAACTCTAAAGTCATGTGGAGTTTTCTGTATTGAGTTCCCTAATGGTTGTTGAAGGTTCAGATCAGCAGAGGCAAGATCATTGGCTCAAGACTACTGTGAGGTGGAGAAGGACAACTAATGGGGCTTACAAGAACGCAGGTACAATGCATCAAAGTTCTGGCTTCTGACAGAAATTGTTAACACAGAGGTAGTGGCCAACTGTATACCCCTAATAAACCAGCCTTAATTACAACGTTTGATAGTTTCATAATGGCAATTTGTTCATCTTTAATTTCCAAACTTAGAAAAGGCCTAATAACCAATAACAATAAAAAGCCAAACTTTTGCTAACAACTACATATTTAGCAAACCTTTTAATTTTTATAATTTATATGAAATGTTTTTTTTCTTGGTTGCAATTTTAGTGGGTTCTTAAATCTGGTCAGTTTTAACTCAATCTGCCTTCACAATAGTCTTATTTTCTACCTTTGTAGTTATTATCATTCCTAAGAGTGCTATATAATTTAGAAATAATGATCCCAAAAGACCAAAAATAAATAAGAGGGTTGGATTTGCTAATTTCATGGAAAAAGATGTTCTGGATGGAATTTTTTTAAAATAAGATTATTATGAAGTTGGGTTTGATGAAAATGAAAAAAGTTGGTATGAATTGTAAAAAATGAAAGGTTGGGGTAAAATTGCAATTGAGTGCAAATGTTTGGTTTCTTACAATTATTAGACCTTTATTAAAACTTATGATTTCATTGAAGAATGTTACCCAGATTTATGATGCCTGCACTGCCATAATTATTGGTCAAGTTAAGCAAAATTTTCTTTGGAGTTGCAGAGAGAGAGAGAGAGAGAGAGAGAGAAGTGGTCCTTTCTGTAAAACTTAACTGCTGTGTTTATTGGTGGTGCTTTTTTGTAGGTGGAGTACATTAATCCAGATGGGTGTGGATGTGAAGGTGAAATGGGGTTGCAGGCAGGGTAAAGTGTTGAAACTTGAAAGTGGAGTGTATATATACATTATACATAGCAGCAGAAGAAAATATGATATGCTCTGTTGTGTACATACATTGTCACGGGAAGCACTAGAAGCCAAAGCATGTTCTTTAATTTCCTCCTGTGACTGCCTTGCGCACTACCTCCTCAGTCCTGCCTGCATCACTATGATTTGCTGAAACAACGTTTTCATGGCAGCAACTTAATCCTGTTTGGGTGAATGCCGAAAATCAAGAAACACTTGTTTCACAGTTCCACCCACACAAAAATGGCAATCTTGCTTATTATCTTTGCCAGCCCATTCTTTGGCATTGTATTGTATGGAATCTCTTCTACTGTCACGTTGTTTTCATATTTCCAATCTCTCTCTCTCTCTCTCTCTCTCTCTGTCTCTCTCTTTTGTACATTTAGATTAAACTACAAGGTTCAATAGGTAGTATTTGGGAGAAGAGACCAAGGTTTGAATTTCAGTAGAGGCAGTGTGGGGATTATGAGTGTAAATGAGCCGAGCCGAGCTCGTTAATGGAATCTCGACTCGAGCTCGAGCTCAATTGAGCTTGAGTACTGGTGCTCAAGCTCGGCTTGAGCAGCTCGATTGTTCGAGCTCGAACTCGAGTTCGAGTTTGATTTTGAACTTTTTAATTGTTATTTTTATATATTATAATTATATTATGTTATATTATATATTATACGGCTCGCGAGCGGCTCGACGACTCACGAGCCTAGAATATTTAGGCTTGGCTTGAGCTCGATTATTAAACGAGTTGCTTGAGCTCGGCTCGAAGTTTGATTTTGACCGAGCTCGAGCCGAGCTTTGACCGGGCCGTTCGCGAGTGGCTCGGCTCATTTACACTCCTAGTGGGGATTATACCTAAAGTGGGTAGATCTCTTGTGTGCATCGACATTTGGCCCTATTTGCTCTGTCGGGCTAGGATGTGGGGGGTCCTTGGGGTTGGGGATTCAACTTGTTGGGAGAAGATTAAACTACAAGGTTTTTGACTACAAAATCTCTAATAATACTAGCAAATCTCTCTCTCTCGGCACACTCCTTTATCAATCTTTTTCAATTGGGTTGCTAGAATAAAATTATGAGTAACAAAATACTTCATAACAAACATATGGTAAGATGTTGACTTGGTAACTGTAAGATTACAAATTGAAAACTTTCTACGAGAGCAACCTTTAATTAGCTATCGACAACGGTTATATAATAGTAACATACTGATATACTTCATAAATATATATAGGGGAAGATACTCTGATTATTTGTATCAAATTTCTTATTATGCTTTTACATTTTTCACAAGTTATAAAATTTGATTAAAAAAAAAAAACATTTTTATTTGATATAACTAACATTTTAGCCTTGTAACTGAAACCTTCCTTTTGATGAAATAAGAATCAGTTTGCTGCCATCTTTTTCAATTCTCTGTTTCTTTTGTGAGATATATAATTGGTTGGCATGAATAATACTTATCTCTAATCCTTGGTCCTTGGATAGTTGGATGATTTCCCATGCTCTGATCTATTGACACATCATATATAAATGATTTTGTGACAGCTCAAACCACTTATCATCCAAATTAGTCTAATACCCTACTTGATCCCCTAAATTAGGTACAAGAGATCTGGTGCCCTAAGCAGTGATGTCAATTCTTCAAATGCTTTAATTTATGCACTGATTACTAATGGCAGTGGTCATCAAGTCACATAATAATAATAATAATAATAATAATAATAATAATAATAATAATAATAATAAAAAATAATAGTAATAATGTTTCTGAGTCAGTGGAGTTTGCTTGATTAAACTCACTAATCTTTTGTCCACATCACATCAAACCCATGAAATGACAAAAGGGTAAAGAACAATGGGCACTCTAGGAAACTCAAAAGTTTGAGCTTTAAAAAAAAAAAAAAAAATCTCTTAATGCTCACATCCTAGCTTTGTGGATGCATGACATCAACTCATATAATTTATGGCAATTAAGATGCTTAATTAACCCTTAATTATTGAAGGTGTGTGAGTTGTAGGGTATATATAGTTGATAGATACTATTTTTGGGTGTCGAGGAAGACTCACAGTCACTATTTGACGATACATACTATATTAGATAAACTTTGTTCATGTATAATAACCTGTAAACCACATAGGAGATGGTAATTGTTAGATACTATTTTATGGATGACAAGGAAAACTCGCAATCATTGTTTAAGGATATATAATAGATAAACATTACTCTTGTGTAATAATATGCAAGTCACACAGGAGTGATAAATCGCACTAAAAAAACTATGTACTACGAAGTTTGGGTGTTGTTGTGTTGGCAATTAAGAAGCTTAATTAACTCTTAATTACATAGGGGGTTTGTGGGTTGTGGGGTATGGTTGATAGATACTATTGACCATAGAATATGAATTCACTTTACCAAGGAAGGAAAAAGCCTAATTGTTTGGAGATTGGCATGTGTACTATATGATATGAACAAATGAACGATGCAGAAGTCACTAAATGAATATTTAATTTTAGGAATGCACATAAAAAGAAGAAAAGTTTTGTGGAAAGGGTTAGGAGCTCAGGGAGCTCATCTCTCTCTCTCTCTCTCTCTGAACATTATCTTTGATTCTGAGTTTTTTGATTTATTAAATTAGTGCCTTTCTGACTGGATTAGGCAGTCAGCTTCCAGCAAATTTCATGTGTTTCACTTGTTTAACAAACAATTCATTTATATATGAACACTACAAATGTTAGGAAAATGTAATGTATCCTTCCAGAAGATAATATTCCTGTCATATTACTATTATTGATTGCACTATAAAGTTTCAAAATTTGACTCATCGTGAGAACTGTCTATTAGTTTTCTTAATTTGAGCTAATTAATCATAAAAAATTTAAACTGGTTTAACTCTGGCCTTGTGGTCCTTTATTGGTTAGGATCACAAAATTAATTTCACCCAAAACACGCATTTAGGTAGTGGCTACAGCATGCAAGCTTTCATATAACCAAAAAAAATGCACAAACTCGTTACAAAATTAAACCAACTAATAACAAGATTTTTCTTTACCCTATCCACCCTCCAACATCATCATATACATGTAATCAACTTTTCTATCAATTTATTAGATATATAGCTAGCTTGTGACATATGTCCTTAAGTTTAATTTGTAGTCATTAGTTAAATGCGAAAAATAAAATCACATTATAAGATAGATGATACAAAATTTGATATAAAAGACAATCATATATATATATATATATATATATATATATATATATATATATATATATATATGAGTTTCATTATATTATATATAAAACCTCATCAACTTCAATACTGAACGAATTTAACTCGATCAATCAATAAAAATAGTTCAAAGTTTATTTATAAATAATTTGAGACGCTTACACTTTTAAAAAAAAATTCTTCTTTTATCATTCCCTCTTTTTCACAAACAAATGGAACAATTGATTAATTAGGATATTGTCACTAATGTTGGATTTAGTGAACAAATTAAGGCAGGCATGCACCATGACTGATGTTTAGGATCTTAGGCACCTTTGTGTTGAATCCTCTTTTGTTTTGGCTTTTTCTTGGGAACTTAGATTATCTCAATATAATGCACCCATCTCCAATAATCAAATCTTTTATATAATTTTATATATGCATAGTGGATCAGACTGAATGAAGCCATAAAAAAATTGTGGTTTAATTTAACAATAATTGGTTAAGTAGCTAATTAAAAGGGTATTATTTTCTTAAACAAATCAAGAGGGGTGGATGGATGATTAGTGTAATCAAATCATGATTGATTAAATTAAAATAGAAATTAAAGAAATTGGAAAAATAAAAAACCCTAATTTCAAGAAAGGGTCCATTGCAAGATTCTGGACACCCACAGAAAGAGTGGCAATCATTGAAGTATGGCTGTATTCAATGAGTCCATTTTAGTTGTGTAAATATATATTAATTAATATAAAATAAATATATTAAAAATTTTAAATTGGGGATATGATGTTAGTGGAATCAGCAGCTAGCTGCATGATTATTGTATTGTAATATTTATGGATTTATATTTATTATTTATATTTATATTTCTCTCCCCCTAGCTAGGTGTGCAGCTTTAAACTAGTCAAAAAGAACAGACTAGCTAACAAAAACATGTAATTTCAGATCGAGGGAGAGATTTTTATGAATATATTAATGCACATAATACCCAGACCAAATCTATATCCAATAGAGTGGAAGATCAGTAATTTGATTTTTTATTTTCTTTTTTAACACCCTGTTTGATCAAATAATATATATGACTTACTTAATGGTAATAGTTTTTTTTTTTTCCCATTATTTTTCATCTTTATTATGAAATAAAGTTATGGTTCAAATATAAAATCTTACTTGAAAAAAAAAATCATGAAAGAAGATTATTGTAATTTTATTTTCATTTACAAAAAAAGGTTTATGTATTTTTTTTTTTAATTTGCTCAGAACCGTATGATTTTTCTACGTGTAAAACTGAAATTGGATAATTTCAATTACAAATGAAAAACGAACGGTCAAGATAAAACAAATTCGAGTTCGAACGGTCAAGATAAAACAAATTCGAGTTTAAGCATATATGGGAGGAGGTGAGGATGGTCAGCATTTGTGTCAAGCCTTTTCAGCCTCATTTTGGAATTATGTTTTCACACTCCCTTGTGTATTTAAAAGAACCCATATGCTATTCAATTCAAACTCCTCTAAAAAGGGAGTTGTATTTATATTAGTTCAAACACAATTCCGATCCATTTTTCAATGTGGGACAACAGTTTCTTCCAAACCTTCCCATCTTTATTTTTCCAACTCAAACCGATATACTTTGATAATCAATTTCTCATTTACCAATTATTCATTTTAAGCGTACAATATATCGATTTCTTTGTATCATTTAGAAGAACTCAAATCCACATTGACTCGACTCAAATTAGAAGTGGATCCCACAGATATTTGTACTACAAAATAATCACTTCAAATGTTATTTTTGCTAATCTTTTCAACAATATTTAGCAAAAAGTTATTGTACAAACTCTCCAAAATTAATTCATAGTAATAATTTTTGGTACAATGCTCTTAAGATTGGACATTCTTATTCAACACTTGAAGCATTGATTATGAACCCAATATGGAAGGCAAAGCTTTTGCAATGGAATTGATTTGCTTAGGTGGGAACAACACTTACAATGGTCATGGTTGATGGTTGTGTCAACAAATTGATTCTCTTCCCCTTGAGTATTTCGAGGTTGGTTTGTTTGTAATTAGTTTGGGTCAAAAGTCAAAGCCTTTTCCATGTGCTCTTCCTATTACACTACTAAATTAATCATGTTTTCATGTTCTTCAATTTCGTGTTGATGATGGAATTTCTAACTTATTTATTTGTTAATTTTTTTTAGTATTATTAACACTTTTATAATGCACTATCTGTCTATACATACTTTCTCAATTTACTGAAACACAAAAAAGTCAATACCCCTATTAGGAGCTACAGTTATATCGCTCGACCACAAGGTCATTATTGACAATTTTTAACTTATTTATAATGTCAATTTTTCTTTTAGAAGATGAGGGAAAGTCGCAAATACTATTTAAATGCGTGTATTGAATAAATTTCGTTCATGTGTAGCTCACAAATCACATTAGAAAGGTCATTGCATACATATTGAAATCTAATTATTGCAATCTTATACCATTTTACAACTTGAAAAGTAGTAATTGAAAATTAATGGAAATGTAATATACATACTAAAATGTTATTATTTGCTCATTTTCATTAGATTGTCATTTCTAGCTATAATCTTATTGCAAGTCTAAGAATGACAACATGATCGAGTGAGGTATATGCAAGGTATATTTTCTATTCTTGAACTTTTTCTTATATCCCTTAAATTTGAGAGAAATAATTTTCCTGACTTGATACCATCGAGAACAAAGAATACCCATTTTGATATATACAAGTATATATCTTTAAAATATCATTCTAAAACTACTAATAAAGTTATTGAG